CGTTTATTTATTTTTGAGAGACAGAGAGAGACAGAGCATCTGGAGGGGAGGGGCAAAGAGAGAGGGGGAGGGGCAAAAGTGGGAGGAGCAAAAAGGGGAGGGGCAAAGAGAGAGGGAGACACAGAATCCGAAGCGGGCTCCAGGCTCCGAGCCGTCAGCACAGAGCCCAGCGCAGGGCTTGAACCCACAGACCGTGAGATCGTGACCCGAGCCGAAGTCGGACGCTCAACCGACTGAGCCGCCCAGGCGCCCCTGAAAATTCCCAACTTCTAATCACGGCTCCGTCTTTCTGGTGATCAGCCCCAATCCCAGAGCCATCCAGAGTCACCTTGTTAGGACAAAAGTCACCGCCATCACCTAGGAAATTCCAAGGGACCTTTAGAAGCCTGCCAGGACGTGGGGTCAAGGGGTCAAAGACCAAATATCAGAACAGATGATGCTTCTAGTGCTCTTACCACTTAGGAGAGTAGAAGGACCTTAGGGAGTGTGAGCCAGGAACCTGGGGCAGAGACCAACAGCTGTATTTTCCACGGTCTCACGGCCATCTTTGTCTGTGTCTCTCATCGATGACATGTGGTTTCTGCGTACAGATCTTTCACCTCCTTGGTTAAACGTATTCCTGTGTGTCTTATCATCCTCGACCCGATTGTAAATGGGTTTGTTTTCTTGGTTTCTCATTCAGATATTTCACTGCCAGTGCACAGGAATGCCGCTGGTTTTTACATGTTGACTTTGTGCTCTGCATCTTCACTGAATTCGTCTGTCAGCGCTAACAGTTTTTTGGGGGGAGTCTTTAGGGTTCCTGTGTGTAGGATCGCGTCATCCGCATACAGACAGCCTGAGCTCCTTACCTCCTCTTCTCCTTTTTGGACGTCTTTTATTTCTTTTTCTTGCCTAATTGCTCTGGCTGGGACTTCTATGGCTAGAATAGGCCTGGTGAGAGTGAGCGCCTTTGTTTTGGTCCTGATTTTGAAGGAAAAGCTGCTAGCTTTTCACCATTGAGGATGACATTGGCCGTGGGCCTGTCTTAGGTGGCCTCCGGTATGTTGAGGCGTGTTCCCTCTACACCTAACCTACTGAGACCTTTTATCGTGAAAGGGTGTTGAAATTCATCAAATGCTTTTCCTCTCTGGGTTGAGAGGATCATATGATTTTACCCTTTATCCTATGAACGTAGAGTATCCTGTGTATTGATTTGTGTGTGATAAACCATACTTGCCTCCCAGGGTTAAATTCCCTTTGATCATGGTGTGTGAGCCTTTTAATATGATGCTGAATTCGGTTTGCTAGAATTTTTTTTGATGATTTTCCCGTCAACATTCATCAGGGATATTGGCCCATCGTTTTCTTTTCCTTTAGTGTCCTTATCTAACTTTGGTATCAGGGTGCTGCTGGCCTTCTAAAATGGGTCTGAGAGTGCTCCCTCCTCAGCTTTTTGGAAGTGTTTGAAAAGGATTGGTGTTAATTCTTTTTTTTAAATGTTTGGTAGAATTCACCGGCAAACCATCTGGTCCTGGACTTTTGTTTGTTGGGAAGTTTTTACTTTGTACTACTATTGCAAGGTGGAAAGAACACTGCTCTGATCTCCTTATTACTGGTCTGTTCAGATTTTCTCTTTCTTCATGATTCAGTCTTGGTTGTATATCTCTAGAAATTTGTCCATTTCTTCTGGGTTATCCAATTTGGGGTACAGCGAATTGGACACAGTGCCTCTTATGATCCTTTGTGTTTCTGTGGTGTCAGTTGTAAGAGCCCCCCTCCATTTGTAATTTACTTGCATCCTCTCTGTCTCTGCTTTTGCTAATCTAGCTAAAAGCGTTTTCAATTTTATCTTTTCTGAAAACCGACTCTGAGTTTCACTGATCTTTTTTTTTTTCTATTGTTTTTTTCTCATCTCTGTTTATTTACGCTCTAATCTCTGTCATTTCCTCCCTTCTGCCAAGTTTGGCCTTAGTTTATTTTTCATTTTCTCTTTCATCGAAAAAGGTTGTTTGAGATCTGTTTGCTTTCTTAATGTTGCCACTTATTGCTATGAAATTCCCTCTTAGACCTGCTTTTCCTGCATCCCATATGTGGTGGTATGTTATATTTTCATTTTCATTTGTCTTGAGATGCTTCCTGAGTTCCTTTTGAGTTTTTCTCTGACCCGTCAGTTGTTGAAGAGTGTGTTGTTTAATGTCCACATGTTTGTGAATTTTCTAGTTTTCTTCCCGTTAATGGTTTCTCGTTTCATACCGCTGTGTTTGGAAAAGATCTGGATACCATATCTGTCTTCCCAGATTTGTTCCAAGTTTGCTGTGGCCCAACAAAGGATCTGTCCTGGAGAATGTGCCGTGCACACTTGAGAACGTGTATTCTGGTGCCGTTGGGTAGAATGTTCTGTCTGTGTCTGTGAGGTCCACTTGGTCTGTAGTCCTTCAGGTCTGGTTCCCTTATTAATTTTCTGCCTGGATGATCTGCCCAGCGTTGAAAGCGGGGTGTTAAAGTCCCAACTGTTACCGTATTGCTGACTCTTTCTGCCTTTAGTTGCGTTAATATTCGCTTCCCATATTTAGGTCCTGTGGGGTTGGATGCGTATGTTCACAATAGTTACCTCTTCTTTTTGAATTACCCCTTTATCACCACATGGTGACCCTCTTCGTCTCTCCTGCCAGATTTGGACCGAAAGTCCGTGTTATCTGATACCAATATGGCCACCTCTGCTCTCTTGGTTTCCATTTGCAGGGAATGTCTCCTTCCATCCCCCTCTCCCAGCCTGTGTGCCCTTAACACTGAAGTGAGTCTCTTGCAGGCAGCCTATCGGGTTGTGTGTCGTCAGCATAAATGATCATGTCCACTTCTGCCATTTCCTGTCCCCGCTAACCGCTGTCTGCATTTACTGCTCTAGGCGACAACATGTACAGCTGTGAACGGTGTAAAAAGTAAGTGTGTGTGTGTGTGTGTCCCAGGGCCTCTCCCCAGCTTCCCATTCCGACCCCTCCGTCCGTCTGTGTCCCGCGTACTTCCCCTGCTCGCCCGGGGAGTTTGACCCTGACCTCACAGACGTGCCCCTGTTAGGAGGGTGCCGCTCTCCCCCCACACCCGGACACTCACCGCTTCTCGCCCGTTGTCCCTGCCAGGCTGCGGAACGGGGTGAAATACTGTAAGGTCCTGCGGCTGCCCGAGGTGAGTGGAGCAGCCCCCCCCCCCCGCCCCCCC